TAGTCATATGGGCATAAGTTGTGTGGTATTTAATTACAGACCACCCTAGGCGAGAATTGCCTACGTAGTAAAACGTATAAGAAGTATTGTGGTAGTGGGTGTGGTCACGCGTGGTCACCATTTTGGTTGGCAAACTGACCTATAATGGATGCCAGATATCAGCAGAAAGTTGATCTTCTGTTCCAATCTAAGCAGAAATCTATAGACCCTTTCAAGATTCAAGAAGAAAATTGGGTAGATGATCCTACTGAGTGGCCTCCAGTTGAATTTGGGCAGATACATACTTACTTGATTGAGTCACCAGGCCAGTTTACAAAAGAGAAGTTAAAGAGTTACAAGAGCTTGCTATCGTACAATTACTACATAAGGTATAAGTAAAATTATAGTAATATTATGACAATTTGTTTTTTTTATGTAGTGGTTGGGTTAAGACTGTTTTCATGTACTCTATTTCTGGTACAAATAATTGTATTGTGAAAGCAAAAGTGAAGCCATCTCAGAGGCTGAGTGATGATCCACATGAGGCTTGGGTGGGACTGATTAAGACAGAAGGGGACATAATTTGTGCTCATTGTTCTTGCATGGCAGGGTAGGTTTCAGCATAATGCATTACGAATAATTATGGTTCTGTTTTGTACTATAGCTGTGGTGAGACATGCTCACATGTCGCGTCTATTCTGTTTAAAATAGAAGCATATCACAGACTTGAACTTGGAAAGGAAAGTTGTACGTCACATCCCTGCGTCTGGAATCAAGCTTTTGTGAAAAAGGTTTGTCATAACTTGAATAATTGTCATGCTTTACTGTATTTGTGTTTTTAGGTTCAACCGTGTCGCATACAAGATATTTGTTTTTTTAAACCTAAGCGTGGAAAATCAGAGCAAATATTGAATGACCATGATAAGCGAATGGAAGAACGAACTCAACTACGACCAGACAGACCAAGGTTAAATATGGCTGAAGTGCTGAAGACATTGCATGATTGTACTTCTAAGTGTTCTGTTTTTACAGTAATTGATGGATATGGCTCAGTGATTGCTAACTCTTCCGCTACTGATGACTTAGATGATGTCAACCTCCCTAAACAATTGTATCACTTGAAAGATCCCGATTATTCCAAACTATCTGCAAGTGAGCTTGATTGCAAAGTTTTAAGTACTTTTGACGAGATCAAGGTAACACCAGCGGAGTCAGATTTTTTGGAACAGTCAACTCGAAATCAATCAAATTCATATTTATGGTTAGAGCACAGGAGAGGGCTGATAACTGCATCACACTTTCATTCCGTATTGCACTATTCTGGACGGACGTTCCCATCTACCATTATAAAAGCAATAATGCAATATTCTAGTCCTAATCCAGAAATACCAGC